AAAAATATTAAATAATTTAATATATATATATGTAATATACTAAATAAATATATTATAATATAATATATAAATAGATATTTACTTGATAAATATAAATATTTACTAATCAATAGATATGTTAAATAATAAAATAATTAAATATATTTAATCAAATAAAAAAATATGACATTATTTAATATATTTCACTAAAAATGTAATAAATGAAAAAATAGTATTATAATATTCATTATATTTATTTATTAATATATATTTAATAAATTTTATAATATATTTATTATTTAATAAATATTTAATTAATATATAACAAATTTTCATAATATATATAAATTATTGCATAAATTATGTGTAATTTTATAATTAAAAGCCGTATAAATTGAATAATATATATATTTATTTTTAATAAAAATATATTGTATTATTTAATATATTTATTTATTAAATATAATAAACAAGAAATAAAATTACATTGTCGAATATTTATTTATTAATTTATATTTAATATATTTATTCATTCAATAAATATTTATTTAACTAATAAAAATATTAATAATATATCATGTATTATTTAATGAAAATATATATCATGTATTGATTTTATAATTAAAGTAGTAGTATAAATTGAATAATATATATATTATTATTATTTGTAGATAAAACGTTTATGATTAATATATAAATAAAGTCCAATCTATTAATAATAGTGTGTTAAACCAAGTGGCCTTGAAGCTCACTTGGCTGCCCATCACCCTTGGTTCAATTCCCCTTCTCTGCGTTTTTTTTTTTGTAAAAATGCCACATAATTTGCCAACTAAGCATCAGATTTACAACTCAGCAAAAAAAAAAAATCATGTAAAAATGCCACGTAGACTAGTCGGTAAAAATGACCTGCTTTTGCCGGTGACAGTACATTTCTCACGATTTTTGCTACTTACGGGACGTGATCCAAAAGTGGGCATCGGAGAGGATCAAACCTCAAATAGGTGTCACTTAGATGACGAAATCTCCAATTTTTCCAGTCGGAAAGCTTTGTAAAAGTATAAAAGTAAATTTTGATACAATGTTATACATTTTTTAATTTATTTTCTAATACTACTTTTTCTTTTCAAAATCGAGAGTAATATATTAAAAACTCAAAATAAAGTACAATCAAGATGTCAATAGAAATCAATAAAACCAATACAACTGAATCAAACTCTTCTTGGATTTGAGAAACCAAGCGCAAGATGACGACTACTTATTCTTACCTAGAAATCAATAATACCAGTACAACTGAATCAAACTCTTCTTGGATTCACAGACAACCAAGGAAGATGGCGACTACTTATTCTTATCATCTTACGACATTGGTGGCTCATATGACGACTCTATGAACAAGATGAATAATATCCAAACAGTAAGTAACAAAAATACCATAGTCAATAATGAGGTTGCAATGCAAAAACTATCGAAAATGTGAATTATTTGAATCAAATGAATTTTAACAATTTTGGGGTAATCAAGCAGACAAGAATACGGTCTCAGAATCCAAATTAGCTAAATATCTCTCTCCGAACAAAATAAATTAACTCATCAAATTTTTTCCCAATTTGATATTTAATAAATTTTTTCACATGTTTTTTCTTCAAAATCCCAAGGGTGTGATTGGATACCAATCATAACCAAAAAGAAAAAAGAAAAACACCCAACCACAATTTAAATTTAATCCAATTTGTTATCTTCAATATTACCAATATAATTAATATTATCATCCAATCTACAGCCTTAGTTATTCAAGCGAGTCAGGAGGAGATTGCCCACTAAGTGACCCGTTAATCAAATCTCTACTCTAGTGTAGAAATTACTCTACTTTATAATAAAAAAATCAAATTCGACCTCCAACGTTCGCGCTACATTATACTCTACATATATTATTCATATTATTTTAATTTATTTAACATGTAAATAATATTTAATTGCAAATATTATTTTATAAAATAAAACATATCATGATGTTAGCTTGTCTTCCACTGGTTTGAAATATTATTCCACAATGAATTATTATTTTTATATTATTTGATTTGTTTTTAAGGAATACAATATAAAAACATATTTTTTTAAAATAATATTTTTATAAAGTTTTCAAATTAAATTATGATTTTAATGGTAAAAACTTTGTCAATTAATAATTTTTTAAGATAAATCAATTGCATATAATAAAAAAATAAAATAAAATAAAAAGTAGAGTAATGAATAGTACCACACCAGATGTAGTGCGATAATGTTCACAACGCTAGAATAGTGTAGAAATGTAGCGCAACGTTGAAGAGCAATTTTGCCTCTACTCTAGCTTAATACGATAGAGTAGCGCAACATTAGAGATGCTCTCAATCAATCATCTTTACACACCACATCAACTTTAGTTCACTATTCATCAATTTACATAAACATAATTTTAACTACCTATACTTTCAATCACTTTTCTTATATTTTTACATCAGATAATCTCTAATCATTTGATTTTAAATGTTATTCTGATACAAACCCATAATTATATCCAAACTAACTTAACCACTTTTCAAAATTAATTATTGTTAACTAAAAATACCAACCAAAACTCCATCAAATCTATATAAAATAAGTGACACTACATATTAGGGTAGGTATCAGTTCGCGGTAACCGAACCGATAAGCACAAACTAATACCGAACTGACATATTCAATAACCATGAAATGCAAAATCGAAACTGAACCAACTTGCAATCGGTAATCGATTTTTTGGTTACCAACAACTCGTTTCGGTATTCGTTTTTGAACCAAGAAACCCAATCGAAACTGAACCAACTTTTTTGGTTTTTTTACTGGTGAGATTAATTGTTCTCACTTTCCAAGCTCTCAGCATGCTCCCAGTCTCCCACTGGCCACTTCCCAACAGCAAGAAAAAAGTCCCAGCATGTTCACATGCTCCCAGCATGTTACAGACTCAAACCATGTTCATTGTTCACAGAGTGAAGGCCCTTTTTTTTTGGTTTTTTGTTAATGATTGAGGGCCATTTTTAATTCACATANNAAAAAAAAAAAAAAAAAAAACTATTAACTAATACTCAAAAAAATATTAAACACTAAATTAAATGTCAAAACAAGTAACCTATAACTATAAGGCTACTATTTTTTTTGTTGTTTTTTTTTAATTATATTCCTAACTGGTTCGGTTCGCCGGTTCGGTGAAATTGAACCCCTATGCTTTCAGAACCGATAGCAAGTTGGTAACCAATAATCGGTGAACGTTATAAACGAAGTTTGCGATTCGTTTTATTTTCTCATCGATTCGGTTCGGTTTAGTTGTCTATATTTGATAAGAAAAATATCAAACCCTACTACATGTTACATTTTGTTCTTTCTAATAATTACTCTACAAGGCTTAAAAAATGTAATTATGCCACAAATACTAATAAAATAGACCTTCAATAATGTTATTTAATGAATAAATTAGGATAAATAGAAATTTACCAGAACATTCGAAATAAAAAAAATGCCAAAATAACCCGCTATCGATGTGACCTTGACTCTGTTTCGGCTCAACTGATGTTACCAAACGTTTTGAGTGGTGGAGGGGAAAAGCAGAGATGGCTATCCAAATCCAGTCGCCATCACCACCACCATTTCCTCGTCCGCAAGCTGGCCGCCGCTTTCACTCTGAGCTCGCTCACGCCGCCGCCGGCTTCCCTTTGCTCCTCCTCCGTCGGCCCGGCCTCCGCCCATCCGGTCCCTACTGCCAACTGTCGGACCACCCGACGGCCCCTCAATTGAGAATTCCGCCGAGGACAGGTAGAATTGATAGGTCGCTGCTGTCAGTGTCGGAGGCGAGCTCCGAGTCGGAGCTGTGGGCATCCGCGCGCCTCCGCGTCCGGACCTTCTACGTCTTCAATAAGCAGACGTACGGCATCGAGGTGATTGTTAAGCGGCGAACAATTTTTTTCTCTGACCAATTTTTCAACTTCCTGTGTTCGTTAGAAGTGAAAACGGATGGTTGATTGAACTTTTGTAGTCGATTTCAGTTAATTCATCTCTGACACCTCCTAATTTTTCTGTTAAATGCTTCACTTGCTTGATAAAGCTGTCGTGTGCATCTTTGACTTTGGAATAAGGGGTCAGATGGATGGTATTGCACTTTTTTTTCTGCTCTATTGTTGAAGGTGTGATTCTTTTTTCAAGTATATCCACCCAATACCGATCCAATTACGTGAATTCACATTCGTTAGGCTCCTTACCAGTCGTTCTTAATCGGTAAATGCGTGTGATCTCTCATCTACTATTTTTCGTGCAGTATGCGTAGTATTTAACATCCTTTAAATATGATCCAGAGTGATAATTGACCTTTATAAGGCCTTCTACTGTGTGTGTCTCATATATGGTCTTTGGACTTTCTTCACGGTGTTGCTATGTTGACATTGTAGTCCAGATGAGTTGTCGCCCGACATTACGACAAACGTGAAATATTCTAGTCACCATATTAAGTTTTTTTCTGGTATAAGGCTGATATTATTTCCATACTCGTCAAAGTTTTTTTAGGAACATAAAAGATACCTGGCTGAACGTGAATTTGAAGCAATGATAGAACGTATAGCTGGAAAGAGAAAGGGCTTCAGAAGAGTTTCTTGCATCAATGCTACTTTGCCAATCTCGGCAGTGGCGAATGTCTCAGATGATTTGTGTGCTTCTTGCAAAGTAAGCACTGCTCCTTTTAATTTCTTGTAGTCCGATCAAGAGTCATGGCAGTTTTTTATGCAGATCATATTCAAATCTACAAGCAGTTTGTTGAAAATGTTTCTGTTAATATATGAGGCAGTCAATTCATCTTTCCAAAAAATGCATTTTGGCAAATATTCAGAGATTACAGGCTGTTTAAGCCATTTTGTCTCATATTTGAGTCAAAATATGAGAACCATACCATTGGTGAGCAGTGAGCAACTTAGCCAATTTTAAATGTGTCATGGATATTATTGTCCCTTGCAGTATATTATCCAATGAGAAATGCTGCCGTTTTGCCTTCTTTCTTTGCAGTTTTCGCAAAATGGAGAAGATCGAGTAGTTGTTGGGACACTAGATATAAACCAATGCATCAGCCTCCCGAATGAAATTATAGGAATGAGGCCTAAGGTACTCTTTTACGCAGGAAGGAGCCTAAGGATTTGAATTGCATCAATCTTCTGACATATAATGTTCTGTTTTGATTGCATTTGAATATCTTAAAGGAGCCTAGGGGTTGAAAATCCGTTGTCTGAAAACCTAACCTTAGAATAACTCGATAGGTCTGTTATTCTGAATTTAGAAACCTAAGCTCCAAACTCGTCAATTTAAAGGATGCCTCGAGTTTATTTAAGCCGTTCAATTCCCACAGGCCACAGTGTATATTTGACTGTTATTCGTTCCACCTCAACAGGGAATCGGAGCTGATTTTGCCAGAGCATATGTTAGCAACGTTTGTGTGGCTACAGAAATGCATCGTAATGGTTTGGGTTACGAGCTCATTGCTGAGTCAATGAGAGTTGCTGAAAATTGGGGTAAGTGATCAAACACGCATGTCTATATTTGTGGAAGCCACCATTTGTCAAATCATCGTATAGTAGCTCCATTTTACTTGAATGTAACCATCATGTTCCTTGTGTCTGTGTGTTTAAATTGATATTGTTCCTCATTTTCCCAAATGAGGAAACCTAGAGAAACTAAGTGATGAAATTCATCATATCTTCAGTTTGCTCGTCACTGTAGTTGCATTAGTGAGAGGTGTTACATTTTGATACCTTTAGTAGCATGAGTCTTGTTCTCAATGAATATTACAGGAATAAGCGATATGTACGTTCACGTAGCTGTGGATAATGAAGCGGCTAAAAATCTGTACATAAAAAGTGGTTTCATTTTAGAAAGTGATGAACCTGCTTGGCAAGCAAGGTTTTTGGATCGGCCCAGAAGGCATCTATTGTGGATAGGTCTTCCCATAACATACGAATTGTGATAACTTTAGACACATTTTTGCATTTTTGTGTACATTAATTGATTAAAATTACAATCCTGTGTTTGTTTAATTTTGTCCTGCGCTCCGTGTACACCTGATATTGGAAATTTCATGGAATCTCTAGTTCAATGAAAAATGGAGGTGATTTGCATTTGCACTCACATAAATCTTTGTTTATATCCATGGGCAAAATGGAACTTGCACCCCTTATTCTATGAATTCTCATTGGCAGTAAGTATACAACAAGTATGTGAACTTTACAAACATTAAATATAATAACATTATGATGTCCACATCATATGATACAACTCACTTTATATGCAAATCATCAATCATGCATTGGAAAAAAATACAAGATGAACAATATATATCAGACAGAATGACAAATGAACATTTTGGCCAGATGAAAAAAAAAAAAGGATGATTCAATGTTTGTAATACTGTTGATCGTATTTTGTGAACACCGCTGACAGCATCAGCATGTGATCTATAGTCGTTGACCATGTCCTGTAACGTTGATAGTCGTTCATCATGTCTAGCTTGGTCGCCCCTTTGTCCGTTGTTAAAACAATGAGGTAGCCGTTTTCAGTTTCCCCAGCATCCGAAGCTTTATACAGCTCGCTGTGTAAGGAGCGGACTATGCCTAAATGATTAAGAAAAGAAAAAAAAAAAATCATGTGAATGTGTATTGTGTCTTTTCAAATACGTTTAACCATATTAATCGATGAAAAAAGAACCTACTTTCCTTTTGTTTCGTGAAAGTGTTTAGCATGTTGAGTTTCTTCATTCTGAGAACAACCTGTGTAGTTCAAGAAAAAGTACACTTCTTTGACTCTACATGGATCAGAACTTAGAACTGAAAGTATGACTATTGACATCAGAAGAAAACAAAGCGACACAAGATCGACCGAAGCAGAATACCTTTCCTTCTTTGCTCAGGATAACAGCTACTAACCTAAGCAGATACCTCCCTGTTTCGATTTTATTTTGTGAATTAACTCATGGTAAGGTGATTAAAACACTAAGAAAAAAAATCGAAATAAAATGAATGCAATTCATATTAAAAATTCTTGATTGTGATAATAAGGATGATGATGATTACACACCATCTGCTGTCTCGATATGAAGCTCGGCACCTCTGGCTAGAACCAACCTACATTTCTCAAAGTCGAACTCTGCTTCGTTATTGTCCTCAAATGGTAACACAGACATGCTCCCGTTTAACCTGCTTCTCTGTCCCCCTCTCTCTTTCAGCGTATCCACTCCTCTTATTGCTTCAAACAAACCAAAAATAATAAAATAAAATAAAATAAATACCAATCAATATTCTCACAAAATAATAATAATAAAAAAAGACAAAAATGCGACAACTCGTTCATTACATGCGGCGGCTGCCGCCGTTAGCGTCACGATTTCACCTGCGCTCGTTCCTCCAATAGCCGAGCCGATGACGCTGCTCAGCTGCTCCCTCGTTGCCCCCATTGCCTCCGCTACCTTGGCGCACTGCGCCGCCACCATGGCAGCTGCGGAGGCCGCCGCCTCCGCCACCCTGTCGGAGCCGCAGCCAATCCGCGAGTTCTCGGCTGAGATCGCAGCCAGGGCAGCGGCCACGCCGGCGACGGAGACCGCCGCGTGGACCTCCGCCCTGTGCAGCCTCTGCTCCTCCTTCCGCCTCTGCTTGATTTCCATCAGCCATTTCTTGATGGACACGTTTTTAAGCAGCACGAGTTTATATTTGTTCCACGGGCTCTGCGCATTTTTTTAAGTTATTATTGTTGTTACATGTGTAGCTCTCGAAATGAATGCGGATATAAAGATTTTTGGTTACCCATTTTTTCCTGAAGAATGAGTTGTAGTTCACTTCTGGGTGCATGGCTTGCTGCATCCATATCCATGACTGTGTGGTAAAATGAGCAGAGGTTAAATATTTTTAACAGTGCATTATATTCACCTTTTAGGATTCTGTGTTAAAATGTCATGCAATGTAAGCTTAAAATTTTAAGAGTTGCCTTGTGGTATAAACAAAAATTATGTATGTGATAGTAAAAACTTCATCATATATTATTGTTTCTTGTAGTTTGGTTACCTTAACATCATTGGCTTTCCAAGTAGGCATAAACTTATCTCCATCATCCATCCTCGTGCTTTTATCCATCATCTGCAGGTTCGAATAGCTCTTACATCTTTGTGAGGAAACCTAAAAACACAACAGTCAGTTTTTGCTCGTTTTTGTGCATGTAATAACAAAACTTACCACGGAGGGTGCCTTAGCCTCCTTCCCAAACACCTTGACTGAGTCCTCTCGAAAAACGAGCGATCTTTCTTTCATTTCGTCAGGTTTGAGAGCTTGAACTGCAAAGTCGCACCAAGCGTGAGAAAGCAAATCCATCGTCTCTGGATGTGCTTGAGAAAGTGTGTGGTCCGGATCGATTTTCGCCAACTCCATGGGATTTTTGAGAAAGATTAAAGCTTTAACTGAATTCAAACACAAAATATTCCTTCATATATATAGGTAGCATTTTGTATCTACCCCTTAGGTTTAAAATATATATTTTGAGCTCTTATACCAGCATATATGGTCCATAAGCATCTATAAAGTTGCTCAATTTTTAGCTGTATAGTGTGCAAAAGAATGGGAGGGCACAGTACTTCCTCCTCCCCACATCATTACAACTACTTGGATCATTCCATGCATGAATGCATAACTTTTAAATTTATAGTAGGGGCTAATTAAATTACAAAACCGTCCTCGAGTTTAAGACTAGCTATATGTTTTTAAAGTCACAAACACCCCTCCATATTTGTTTATGTTCTACTAACTATTACAACCTATTAAGGAGAGAGATTGTTATGTTCCCGAACACAATTCGGTTTGACTCGTAAAAGTTCGAGTTAATTAGTATCAAGATAATTCTAAGTGTCAATGTAGTATGTTTATAATGCTATCTTGATATATCAAGATAACCTTATAATCATATCTTTACTGTTTACTGTTCACCAGTAAACAGTAAAGATAATTGGGAAGTGTATCAGATGTTTAATTTACGTGAGGGAGGGAGTTAATCATGATCAAAGTAAAACTTTATGGGGATTACCGAAGTTGCCCTTGATCATTGAAGTTTGATTATTATAATATCTAAGATAAAAGTTAAGCTTGATGATTACCATCTTGATTAAAAAAAGTAAAATGAAATTTTAACTTTTTTCGGAGTGTAATTATTATGTTTGGACAACTATTGTCTAAATTCTCATGCACTCGTCGGCAAGGTTGTGCAAATGTTTGTTTGATAATTAATTATTAGGAGGGCTCTTTAGGTGGCATAATTATTTCAAATGCTGCTTAATCCACCTCTTTTATTACTTACATGACGCAAGAAAGCAATGTTTGAAATATTGACAATGACCTGGGTTTGGTGTACTTAGGGTCATTGGATCCAAACCAAATACTTTCTCATATTCTTTTTATTTGTCATTATAATTTTATTGATGATCAGATCAATCAAATAAACGACGTTTTGGATCTTTTATAAGTATATATATATATATATATAATTGTTGGAATGTAGCATTTAATAAAACCTCTGAAATTTTCTCTCCATTTTCGATAACAAAATTTTTCATTAATAGTTTTTACTTCTCACATTAATATATCTTAATGAGTGTAATCATGTATTTTTCTGTTATATTATATAATAGTTATTGCTAATACCAACTGATAATAGTTCACAATAAATATAAATAACATAATTATAACCAATTGTTTCACGTTATATAATTTAACATCAACATTTTTTTTTTTTTTGTATCTCATAAAAAGTTTCTTTAAAAATAATTAGTAAATTATTTTTTTTTTTGGTACAGGGACCTTCCGGTTTTCGGATCCACGGGGGAACCGACTAATCCGGAATCGAGCCGGGTAGGACCACAAGGACGGCAAAGCTCTCCCTCAAGAGTTTTAATTGCATAGTTGAACAACTTTAGAATCTTTTAAACCATTATTTTTTAATAATATATATATATATATACTACACCGTAAGCCTCATTTGGTGTAGTGTATACTAGTACGTACCCCGTGCAATGCACGAGACATAGATATTAAAAGAATGATTTTCAGACGACTCTGTTCGTTTATGTCTAAAAATCAATAGGGTTATAATATATTTTTCACTTGTATATTAGGGCTAGCTTGTAAAATAATTAATATATTATCTATGCATATTTAATTCTTTTTTTTATCGGTTATACATATTTATTTCTTAATTTGAAATAAAAAAAATGTTTGACCAGTTGAGTATTAAATCAGCCCTAATTAATTTATTAAGCAAGTAAAGACACAAAGCAAGACAATTTAATTATCCAGCAATTTAGGGTAATATACACTCCCTCCTATTCATTATAAATGTCGTTTTGACTTTTTTGATTCATCAATTTTGTTATGTATCTAAACATTAATATGTCTAGATACATAACAAAATTGATGAATCAAAAAAGTCAAAACGACATTTATAATGAACATGAGGTAGTAGTTATTTCCTTTGTTAAACATGATTTTTAAAAATAAAACAACATCAGCCCCAAATAATAGGCAACATTCATGGTTTTGTTGAAAACCAAAATAACAAAATCCTTAATTAATGGATAACATTTAATGCTGCCTTTTTTTTTTAAAAAAAAAAGTTACTAAGAATAAAATATAATTAATGCAAAATGATTTTGACCAAAATTTGACCTGCTATTTTTGAAAAATGGTAAATCTTTTTATAGATATATAGATACTATCATGCTCGAGTCAACTTGATTTTGACCGATCATAGTTTAGGTTTGACCGAATTAATTGCTTACTGAAATGACCCCTAAATCAGGCTTCATCCGTCGGACGCGTTCAGGACCTCACAGGTTTGATCAAAACATTTCAAGGAAAGAGATTATTTTTTATTTTTATTTTTTTTAGTGAAATGATACTAATTAAGGATATCGGCTATAAGAATAAAATCAACTCCCCTTTAATTGCATTTTTTTTTTTTTTTTTTTTTTTTTTTTTTTTTTGTACAATGAAGGGAGCAAAGCGCCTACGAGAGGCTAGATAACAATTTTTTATATACCATATCGTGGTGTAATCATATGCCCGCCCCCGGCGGAGGGCACTCCAAATAATAAAGGACACCGGGACCCTTATCCGCCAGGGATGCCAAATAATCCGCAACAAAGTTCGCTTTCCTATATCCAAAAAGGATCTTCACAGTCCAAGGACGACCAAGAAGCTCCCGAATCCCTTTCAATACACTCTCATATGCTTCCTTTAATTGCTTTTGACAAAATAAGCTTAATTGTACCATGAAGAATAAAGTTGATCGCATTGGCATGCCTAATGATAATTGGATCTGGGAAAGGAATATAATTGAAATGTTTTAGTATTAAAGGTTCAATGAAAAGGGATCGATGCTTAATTAAAAGTCATTGTATAATAATCTCCATAATTCATAAGAAGCGTAAAGCATCATGAGTAAATATAAAAATACCCATTGTCGTAATCACTCGCCATTGAGATGTCAAAGCTCACAAATTAATTACAAGTTTTCTCACTATGAACAACTCTTTACAATTTTCAATTAATAGTTATTTATTAGGGTATAGCAAAGTATTGTGAACAGATCATCACAATGGCCTTTTATTAAACGAATCAAACATTTTTTATTCGATTCGTATTTGCGAAAAATCGAATTTCAAATTTCAATGAGAATAGGTTTTAATTTTCAAAATTTATACATATTCAAATTTGAATACCTACATGTTCGATTATTCGTTAATAACGATTATATAAAATATATAGAGTATAATTTTTTTTTATTTGTATAACATACTTTAAATATAAATATAAACTAATAAAATATATTATAATTATGTTGTCGTGTGTTTGCGCCAAGTGGGCCATCGAGGCAATGACTTTGTTAATTATTATGTGATGCTTTAAGATTTTTAGGGTTAATCTTAGCGTGGTTATGTGGTGCTCGTATCTGTTGAAGAACTAAGGTGTCTGCACAGACGATTTCATTAATTGGATGGGCCCCCGCGGCTTATTTTGTACACATAACTTTTAAAAGGCTGGAAGAACACGAAATGTAAGTGAAAGCTTAAAAAGAGATAGAGAGAGAGAGATTACATCAAAGTTTCTTCTATTTAAAGGTGCTTTCTGATATATTAGATGATGATCTTGAAGGCCTCCGGATCCTATTTTTATAGTAGGGAGATCATTCAAATTTAATTTTTTAGGACAGGTGGTGGTTTCTGATGGGATGAATGGCGACACATATTCGTTAATTAGAGCAAGTGACATATCTGTTTAGGCAGAATTCAGGGTGGTATGCCTTTTCACATTGGCTTAGGACCATGCTCGGGAAAGATGTGACCTGCTGAGGACGACCTTCATTTTGGAAGAGGTCGGCATGCAGTCTCGTAGTTGGGAACGAGGTCGGCTTAATGATGTATTTGTGGCCAGCGTTTTCCTTCTTATTAGAATACTCCTAGACTCTGGGAAAGATGTGTGCGTTGTACTGGTGATGACGTCAATATTTATTTTAGAGATCTTTATATTAGGTCGGACAAATTCATGTATCAACAATTTACAACATATATAAAATATTATTAAAAAATATATTTCTATATATATTCATATTTAAAATATACATTAAATTATAAAATATATTAAAAAAATATATAAATAATTTCTGAAAAAAATTCGAATCGAATAAATTCGATAATGAATCAAATACGAATTATAAATGAAATTCAATAACAAACCAAATACGATTATAGATAGTCAAATATATTCACGAATAGAATAGATATATAAGTATTTGTTTCGCTTCGATTCGGTTCGTTTACATCCTACATACTTAATATATGTTGTTCACAATCACACACCACCTGCAATTGGGCCTGCACTGGGTATGGATCTAGCAGATAAAACTATATCTAAGCACATGCCTTCTCAAAATGGGCCAAGCCCCAGGGGCGGAGCCACCCTAAAGCTAGGGTGGGCTCCAGCCCCATGTAATTTTTTGCTACCCTTATTTTTGCTAATTTTATTTTTTAAAAAAATTTATACATAGACCCATTAGCCCCATGTAATTTTTTATATAGCCCCATTTAATTTTTGGGCTGAATGACTCAAGATTATCTTCATGTTAAAATTTGTTATCTGACAACAATGGTGGAAAAATGATGATTATAGTGAGGAAAAAAGATAATCTTTTATTGTCAAATGACAATTGTGACCTTATTAGATATTTATCAATTGAGTTTATAATGTGGCCCAACATACTCTTGTCTTTAAATTTTTAATGGGTTGACTTGACAAATATTAAATGAGCTGGATAATTAAGTTTGACACAAACTTTTCCAGCGGGCTATTTAATTCGATTCGTCTCATTCCACAGTCCGTTATCCAATTTCATTTATTTTTTTTTTCTTTCGCCTCCAATAATTAATTCGACATCATTTCCTAGACAAAGAGAAAACTCGTACAAAGTTGATTGCAAACATGTTCGATTTTATTTGTTTGATCGACAAGTACGATTAGCTATTTGAGTTTGGCTTGTTTAAATATATAAGCGATTCGAGATTGAGTTTTTCCAATTCAAACCGACATATGTTAGCAGATAATTTGTTTATAATCATAACCAAAACCAGTTACAGGCCGAAACCGTCGATACCGGGCCGAGAGTTGGAGGAGCATGAACCGACGCGAACATATATGAACCGACGCGAACATATGTACGGGTCGGTTCATTGAATTGTCGATTACTGGTCGTCCGGTTCATTAAAAAATACAAAATAATTAGAATAATATTTTAAAAAAAACGAACCTCGAGTTCCGGTTCCAGTTCGGAACCAAAACAGCATGTTCAAAATGTATAAACTATAAAATATTGTACATGAACCGAACTGGTCAAAACCATGGGTTTGTTCAAGACCATGGTCAACGGGTCTGCTTGTGTCGGTTTTGGCCGAACCGACATGTTGGGTCGGTCCATGACCATGTCTACAAGGTTTCAATAATAGCTACAAGAATATGCAGCCCCAGGTTAAAAAAATTCCTGGCTACGCCCCTGCCAAGCCCACTATCAAGTATCAATGAATTTTATCCAAGGAAGATTGTATTCTTCAGATAGACAACTTTTGGTCCCTTCTATAGGTTCCATGGAGATGGTTTCATTTGTATAACAAAAGTAGTAGTTATAATGATAAAAACGGATGAATATACAACTTAACACACAGCTTTTTCCTTTTATAGATAAATATGATGAATTTATAGTTGAATTTATTTTAAGATTAATATATATTCCCTTTTTAATCAAAATATTTTCGTATTGTCGCGAAAATGTGAAAAATTTAACATCCAATAAAAAGTACATATATACAATCACATCAACTGTAGCTCGTCTAACGTTAAAGTGTTCATCTTCACTTTCAATATGTGTGCTCAATTCCTGACAAAAATCAAACATCATCATCAATTCATCATCATCACGATCATCATTTTTTTTTTTTTAAAGATGATAAAAATTACCAATAGAGACAAATATATAATCATTCTCACTTAATACTCTTGATCATAATAAATAGATATAAATTCACTGCTAAAATGAACAATATATTGCACGTGAATACTCTCACAACCCTTCCCTGTACACATGCAATTACATCCCGTAGGACCTCTCATTGCATCTCGTAAAATTGAAATTAAAAAATTTAATATATAAATTAGCTACAAATACTTTTTTTTTTGAATAATTTAAAACAATGTAAATATAAATACATCTAATATTATATATTAAGCCTCCAATTTCTGAGCAGCAGCAGCCAGAAATCGCATGACGTCCACCTGCACCCTAAGGGATGAGATATAATCTAGGGTTTCGCGGATCAAACACCCCTCGTCCATTCTCTCTCCTCCCGGTACAAGCCTCTTAAGCACGCGCGTCTTGTTCCTCACGAGCTTCCTCGCGACGTAATCGGGGCTCGATTTCACGCGCCGAGGTACAACCCTGCGATGCGCGCTTATGATGCGGCTTTTTCGTAAAATCCTCTTGCTGCATGCAATCGTCGCCAAATTATTGTTGTTGTGGGCTGGTAATTTGCGGCCCAATATTTGTTCTACAAGGATCCTGTTGGGCCCATCGGATGACGAGATGACGTTGTCCATCAGGGCCTGGCTCCAGTGGGTCGCGGCCCTGCGGGTCGAGGCCATGGCTGCGTCAGCCGAGAGCTTGATGGCCTGTTTACGGTCGAGAATTCCCATACTGCCCTTGTTCAAATTGGTGTACACGTGGAGGCCCTTTATCCATTTCCTCAGAAATTCCTTTCTGAGCTGCGTGGCTGATGAGGTACTCATTCTGCTTAGATAATGTATGAAAAAAAAAAATTAATTAATTAATCAGTTCATTAATTAGGACTAATGATATGCCGTGTGCACTAATCAAACTTTGAACATGTATAGAATGAGCCATGGCATAAAACATGCATATTAATTATACTAATTAATCAAATAAATATGGAAAATCTTTAATGTTTGAAATTTATGACCATGAAGGAAGAACACAAAAAAAAATAAATAAATAAAATACAATAAAATAAAATACATGAAATTATATATATTAAAAAAAAATAGCAATAAAAGACAATTCACAATACAGCGTACGTACCTCGGTTTCATCGAACTGGATAGATTAAATTCCAGACAAAACAAAATATTGAAGAAGGAAATGAAGATCTTCTTTGGAATTCAAATAAATTTAGCAGAAAACTATTTTTTTTAACTATAATTTTATTTATTTATTTATTTTTCTAAACACAGAGAGAGAGAGAGAGAGAGAGAGAGAGAGAGAGAGAGAGAGAGAGAGAGAGAGAGAGAGAGAGAATATTATTGAGAAATGAGAAGAAAGTGAGGGGAGCAAAGCCAATTTATTTGGTGAAAAAAAGGGAAGAGGATTTGTAATAGTTTGGTGGTGGGGCAGTGGGAGAAAAACACAGCACATGCGAGCACATGCGACCTCTCATGGCCCGCATGTCATAAAACCCTAAATTAAACACCAACATGTTGACTTTTATTATCTTCTTTGGATTTTTGAATATATAAAAATCGGTTTTGTTATGAAACCAACAGTTGGCTTCATAGTGAAGTCAACCATCTATATACAACAAATAAACTTATCATATTAATAAAATTATATTACTTTTTTTTAAATAATCAAAAAATATGGTAGGTTCATTTGTTGTATATAGAAGGTTGACTCTACTATGGAGCCAACTGTTAACTTCACAGCAAAGTCGATATAAAAATATACACACACCAAATATAATAAACAATTTACTTACTTAATTAGTAGTAGTATTAACTTGTGACTCACAAGTCTACGCTCGTGAACGAATATTCATTTTCCAACACCTGTGTAAACTGCCACATTCTGTGACCACACAACAATACTACAATTCCATAAAATCAAAAATCACGCCGGATGTGATTAAGTAGTTCGAATTTAATTAATTTCGGCGCTTAATCGTTGTACATGTGATACATATAATCGATCCCATTTTGTGAGATTTTAACTGCTTGTTGATTGATTGTTTAATCGTTGTACATTTTAAACAACAGTTAGTCTTATGTTAGCCCGATTGAAATGTTTTTTTTAATATATATACACTTTAATTAGATAATTTTATGCATATCTTATAAAATACGTTGTTAGAGAAGCACGACATTTGATAATATAAGTATATATGCATATATGTTCAGATCGTATATATGAAGATGGACTTGCCTATAGATTAGGTTGTTTTACCCAATAATTGTGTGTTTTAACAATAATACGTACTTACTCAATAAAATGTCATATCTTTGTGTAACTTTTTTTTTTTTTTTTGGAATATGTTATTTCAATTCAAAAGTATGGATATCTGTTGAAAAATATGATTGTTTAACAATTAAGTATGATTACCAATAACCTTATTAATCGTCATAAATTTTTATGCGAGACAATCCAATAGTACGACGCCATTAAACCAAAAAAATATATTTATACTGTCAAAATTCATACTTCTACTTATTTTATTTTTTAGAATACAACATATTTCAATGAAATTATGTACTTTTTTTATAAAAAAAAAAGTATGTCAGTCTAATAATTATGTCGGTCATATGAAATATTTATAGTAGAATTTGGGTTGGTTTCAAAGATAATTAGCACCGTAGTTTTAAATCCTAGTTTGGCCACCAACTATATAAATATTTGATGTTCAATTTTATTTAAAATTGTTTTTCTCAAGTTATTAATATCATGGCTTTGCAAATGGCAGAAGAAAACGACCTACAATGGGTGGAAGATCTAAATAGGGTTCCATAGATCTGTATTTAATTAAAATATGGAAGTTATTGTTAAAACGTCTCATATGACACATATATCTTTCATTAAAATATACCATTAATTAGCTAGGGAGTCTGTGAGCGCCTCTCTCTAATTAATAGAAAAATAAAAAATGAAATAAAACATAACAATGAGGTGTTAGACTCTAATTAAATAGAAGACATTATTTGATGCGGACATCGCATCTTTTTTTTTTCTTTGGTAGAGGGACTTTCCGGTTTTCGGATCCACAGGGAAACCGACTAATCCGGGAATCGAGTCGAGTAGGACCACAAGGGCGGCAAAGCTCTCCTTCCAAATATATAAATTATTTTTTTTTTCTTTTAGTTTCCTAATTATAATCTTGAATTTTAAGGTTGTCCGGCCACCCAAAGAATCAGCTAATTACTTAGCATGATCTTATTATGTACACTTTATCATCATGTAGCATTTGACTAATTAATTATCTGTTTAATTCTACAGTCATAAGTATTTAGAAATTGTTCAAAATTCTGAAATGACATTTTACCTCGTCACACAACATCAATGTCCAATGACGACAATTGTCAAGTGTAAGAACTTAGGAAAATATACATACACATAATTCTGCCCTATCAAACATTTATATTTAATAGTTTATATTAATATTATGATTTAAATACCAAATTTGCAAATTGAAAGACTATTAAATATTTATATATGTGATATATGGCACATAATAATAGCTCGTGAACCAGAAGGAATTGCTCGGTTTAGCCAGCCGGAGTTAGTTAGGTCCGGAACTCGGTAGTATTAACAGCTCTGCTTTCACAGTAGGATTACTAGTGGCTCGACCTTATATTAGTAGTTCGGCTTTCATGATAAAGGGGTTCTTAGCGGCTCGGCGTTATAATAATGTTAACAGCTCGACCAATTGAAGGTGTCAATAGGTCGACCCAATGAAGACACCAGCAGCTCGGCTAAGTTGACATGCTCGGTCTTATCTAGCAGCTCGATTATGATCATAGCTCGGTGGACCGGCAAGGACTTGCTCGGGTTACCGAGCAAGTTAATCAGTCAAGAAGCTCGAAAGTTAGTAGTTCGGAATTAGGACAAGGGCCGAACAAATGGGGTAGTTATGAAGAGTAATCTAGGAGTGACAGGTGTAACGCCATGATCAAAATCGAATAAGTGATCTGACGAGCGAAGAGCAAAGTGTATGGAAAAAGCTAAACAACTTCATATAAATAGTAAATGAATGATATAATCACACTTTACAAACCTTAAACTCTACATTACATACATCTTTCCTATATCTTTTACTGACTTGAGCGTCAGAAGTTTATCGCCGAAAACCACTCCCGACGTCTTTGCATGTCTTTAAAAGCTCAAACGGTTGAGGATCGGGAGAGAGTCGGTTCGAGGTGCAGGAGCACCATCAATATCCGTTAAAGCATATGTAGAAGTATCTCAATATACACACTTTTCTACATCAATGAGTTGATCCATTGAATTCTAACTTTTTATATATTTATAATAATAATTAAACTTATCATTTTATATGGTGGTAATAACAAACAATTGCCCAAAAGTCCTCGTTATATCGTGCAACCCAATCCGTAACAACACATTTATCAAAACACAACCGCGTTAAATATGAATCATATCTGAGTAACAAAGATCTTTATGAAATATTTGAGCACATTCATATGTATATATGAAATTATTATACCAATTAATTTTATTTTATATTTTTATGAAACATATGATTGGGCCGCGGCTTACTAATTAGGATAAAATGAAAGATCCGGAAAATGTGGGTGATGGAATAGAAGGATGAAAATGGGGCCCACCCCAAAATTTGGGCATTGATTTTTTTGAAGCAAAGCAAAAGTATATTATTTTTCACATGGCCTCCACATGGATTCTTCTTTTTAAACCTGTGATAATAACAATCACTCGGCCTTTCATCATACATACATGTGCTCAAAGTATTCATTTACGTACCCACCAAAATTTTACCGTCAATAAAAGGGTAAAATAATAATAATAATAATAATAATAATAATAATAATTTAGTCTAAATTTTTACACTTTCTAACCATTTAATATTTCTTTCAGCACACTATTTAGGTCATATGTAAAAAAGGGAAATATTGATGTGTAGTGTTATTTGGCAATTTGGCAATATATAGTTCAAAATTAATTACTTCAGTCCAAAATAACAATAAAAGAAACTCACAAATTCTTATATGATACGGTGTAACTATTGTTTAAGAATATTTTATATATTTCAGTTTGAAAATGTTTATATGAATTTGTTGAAAAAATAATAACTCTCAAACTATTAGTTTTGCCTAACATTAGTGATGCGAAGAAGGCCTTAATTAGTGGGGTTATTATTATTATTATTATTATTATTATTATTATTATTATTATTATTATTATTATTATTATTATTATTATTATTATGTGCATTGGAGAATAAGTTAGGAATTAAATATTATTATAAGAGATTTTGTCTTGTTGGACAAGTTAGAAATATAGTTTTGAAGTCTTATTTAAAGGGCTCGTTATATATTGTTTTATTCAGTTGATTTATTGAATGAATAAGAGATGATTTGATTGTGAGTTTTGCGTGTTTTACGAGAAAGTATCTCGTTTACTCGTTTTATCCTTATCCTTCGTACTCGTACGTTTCCCTACATCAATTAGTCTTATTCAAAAACTGCTAAACAAATGATGGGAATTGAATGATTAAGTACTAAAATTCTCATGTATCTTACGAAGATCTAAGCCTATAATAAAACGGATCCGAAGAAAATCATATAGATTGAAGAGGAGATCACAATTAACTGGTAGAGGTCAAAAAATCCAATTTGAATTTGGATAGGTAAATTAAAAATCCTAAGAGCACTTTTTACTGTTGTCCACTCTCGATGCTTTTACATTGTGAACAAGTTGAAAATTGACTAAATTCAAATATATATTTTTCTTGGGTTAATTGCACGAAATCTCCCTGTATTATACGAAATCTGCGCGTTTTTCCCTCATATTTTAAAAATTGCGTCAGACTCTCTTGTATTAACTAATAGTTGCACGATTCCCCATCTCCGTCCAACTTGACGGCGCGTGCTGCACACTTTCATGCACTGCAATAATTGTTCATTTTTTTATTTATTTTGAATTTGAAATTTACTATTTTGCCCCTTCCTTTTCTACCAATTGCTGCGCAAAAAGTAATGATTTGCTGCTCCTAGAATTCGAACCTGGGCCAAAACATCTATACTTATATAAAAAGACATTCTATTTACTAGAATTAGTAGTAAAAAAA